TATATCAGCAATGATTTCTTGGCTGTCAGTCCCCTTTGTATGTCTCTCTCTTTTAATGCAAGACATTGGATATGTGCACCTCCCTTTCATGTGAGCCCATGAGGACCCTTCTAAGAAATGTCAATTGCTGAAATGGATTTAAATGTTTGCTAAGCCTTTTTTTCTTTCTCTCTCTTTTCTGTTGTACTATGTATGTGCATGTATAGATATACATTTGCATATATGTTGGATTCATCATTTTCTTAAATAAAGAATGTTACACAAAAAAATAAAATAAAAAATTGGAGGGAAAAATCTATTTGCCTGCCTTTAAAATATGTTTAAGATTAAGAGATAACCTTATGGAGTTCAATAACTTTAGCTAATATTAACTTACAGCAAGGTGGGACTGGCTTGAATTGTGTATTGCACTACTTAAAACAGCCTTAAATAACATTTCAAATGCAACGTTCATAAGTGCTTTATAGACATCTTGTTGTAAAACTTTAGCATCAATTAAATTAAGAAATTTAAGACTAAACAAAATGGCAGAGCAATATAATATTACCACATAAAGCTGCATAATTTTTTAAAGTTTGATTGGTAATACTTTTATAACAAATTTATGTAAGATCATGATTTCTTGGTTAATGCTAAGTTGACATAACAAAGACATTTTTGTCTAGGTTAATGCCAAGTTGATGTAACAAAGACATTTTTGTCTAGATTAATGCCAAATTGTCATAACAAATACATTTTTGTCTAGTGTTGTGGCCATTTATGTAAATTTTGCAAATTGTAATTTCTACTAATTTAGTTCTTTTATTTTTGGGAAGTTGGAATTTATTTAAGTTAGTTTAGATCCAAAATATGTAGTTAATTTGTATTTTTGAATTGATTAGATGATGTTGGTAATTGGTTAGACCCTCCCAATAATTTGAGTAATTAAAAACACACCGGGTGCTTGGTGGAGGCACTGTTTGGGAAATGTTTGGTGTGTGGACGGGAGGCTTTTGTAAATGATTTTTTGACCACTTTTTCATACTTGAAACGTAAAATTAAGTTTACTTTCGTTTTTGGCTAAGTTGTAAGAGATTTTTAGTAATTATTTTGTCGTTATTTTTTACAAGAAATAAAGAATATATTTTTTTCAAAACAAATCAAGTTGGAAGTGCGTTCAAATCAAACCACCTGTTACCACCCACAGCCTTTGTTAGAATTTTGGTTTTTGGAAGATAGAAGGCTGCAACATCTAGGTTAATGTCAAGTTGACATAAAGACATTTTGAATAATGTCAACTTTGTATTAAAAGTGTCAAGATTTACTGAATGACAGTTGTAATTATTATGTTTATGTGCATCACAACATACAATCTGTAAATCTGATGAAAAATTACACTGCAGCAGTGTAGTTTCTCATCTGTGTTTTAGTTTTTCCTAATCTGTTTTGCTTTCTCATTTCTGTTGAACAGAACACCAAAACGATATGAAGAAAATGGAAAACTGACTGCAGATAACAAAACACAAATATGGAACACAAAAGGGACAAAATGGAAGAGGAAAAGCAACTCATGAGCCACGTAGCTGAAGATGTTAAACATCTTTGGGAAAATATGAGAAGAGAGAAAGGTAAAATCCAATATTTGAAGAAAAAAGTGAGACCTGACATGCAGAGAGTAATTTTTGAACCAGATGAAATCAGAAAAATGTTACATACTATCCAAGAAGACACAAAACTTTGCAAGAAACACTTTTTTGAAGAAAAGACCCAAATGAAATGGATGAGTTTTCAGGCTGAGAAAAGGAAAAAAAAGCTTGACCAGAAGTTCGAAAAAATAATTCAAGAAGGTGATCAGTTAGACATTCTGAAGAAAAAAATGGACCAGCAAAGACAAGAGACTGAAAAAAAATGGAAAGAAATATTGACTTTAACTTTGATTTCAGAAAAAATAAAAATTAATTTAGAAAAATCTACTGAAGAAATTAGAAGCACAAACGCGGAAATGCTCAAAACCCAACAGAAGATCAAAAAGAGCAATGAAGTAAAACCATACATGGTAAGTCTTTTTTAAATTTTGCTTTATCAACTAAAAGTGGGAAGCCAAGCATTTTAAAGGTTATTTTAAAAATACAGAAGTAGAAATGCATTTAAAAAAAATCTTTTTTAGTACCTGTGTTTTTCGAGTTTAAGTTTGGAGAACAGAGTTGCAACTTCTTCAGGCTTTAAATACAGTTATTGCCTTTAGTACAATATTCTGATAACATGAGATCTTTGTTTTCTCCCCAATGTACATTTACTAAAGAATATTCTTTTTTCACACTACAACAGGGAAAATCTTTACATGACCAATTACAAATATAGTCACTGCCATTGAGTTACTGGCTGTTTTAGCTTTGTTATGTGAGCAGGCTCTAGGTTTGGAATTCAGACTGCAAACACATAAGATGTACAAATGAAATAGAGCATAGAGACAGAACACACAGCATACTACCTCCAACTAGGAGAACATTTGGAAATGAAATTTTGGAAATCAAACTAGCAAATGCCTGGTTGTGAGAAAATGCTTTCCAGGGCCAAGAAAGTGCAAAGAAATGTCAGCATAGTAATGTTGGTCATGGTAAACTTTTTTAAAAAACAACTTAAAGTGGATAAGCTCTATATTTTTTCTTCAACTGAAACTGAATAGTAACTGATTGATGTAGATCAGGGGTCCCCAAATGTTTTCCTGTGAGGGCCACATAACTTTTCCTTTCTCTGGTGGGGGGCCGGAGTCGGTTTGTAACAGAAAAAGTGTGACGATTGCAGGAGTGCCTAAATTTGAGTCATAACAGGTCAATTGAATATCACATTT